CCCCCCCCCCGCCCCCTGCCGGTTCCCAGGCACTTAATACTCCGCATCCATCCAGCACTTTCTGATGCACATCCCCCCCTGCTCAGCCCAGAGCCCCGGCTCCCCCTCGCCTTCGCCGTTGGGACGAGAGGGGCTGGGAACTACCAAAAGACATTGGCTGGCGCTGTCACTGTGTGCCTGGCTCTCGGTCCTGTGCCCAGATGGCGCGGCTGACCCATCTGCCTGACACCCCCGAAGAGAGCCCCTGGCCTGGCAGTGTTATTTTAGTCCGAACCCAGCCAGCCTGGGGGGTCTGAAACTCCTTCTGCTCCTTCCCCACAGGCCTTCTCCGAGCAAACCAAAACCGATTTGTTCCTGGACGATTCGAAAAGGTAAGCAATCTGGCGGGGGTTCTGCGTGCCTACGGGCTCCGAGTCTCTCTCCGCCGTAGTGTTACAGGCTAGTGAAAACTCTCTCTCACGCCCCCGTTCATGGAAGACAGTTAATTGTGGCTTGAAGACTCTGAGGCATCAAGGCCAAATTCAGGTCTGGGCAAAAGGCTCAGTTTTGTTGTGGTTGGTCGTGTGCGGTGGCTCAGGGGTGAGGCGCGTCTGCCAGCTGTATTGCCCCGACAGGCTGCATTCTGATTGCAGCCAGGGACAGGGGTTCTCCTGGCTTGCGTACGTTGGTTAGCCAGATCCAAGTGCCCGCAGAGAACATGCTCCTGGCTGCTGACCCTGCGCTCGTGCTCTCTGCCTTCCTGGCAACATCCCGCTCTGCTTCCTGTCCTGCAGTCTGATTCGGTGGCACTCCAGCGAGGCCCTGCTCCACTGGCCAGATCTCCTCAGCGACCCCTCCATCATGGGCAACACCATCCAGAAACTGAAGCGGGGACGGGCCAGCCGCCACCTGGGGCTTGAGGTGCCTCTGCCGGCCGAGGAGGACAGCTTGTCGCTTGGCTTGCACCACGGGCAGACCAAATGCTTCTCCGCCTCAGGTAGGGGTGAGGCTGCTGCTGGGCCGGCGGGGCG